GCTGCTCTTCCCAAATTCCTGTCCCTGCTTCCCAAATCCCCATCTCTCTCCTTTCCCAATTCTCCACCCCAGTGTACGAGCAGGACTTGGATCAGGATTGGGATCAGGATTAGGATTGGGATTGGGATCAGGATTGGGATTGGGATCAGGATAGAGATGGGGATTAGGATTGGGATCAGGATTGGGATTGGGATCAGGATCGAGATGGGGATTAGGATTGGGATCAGGATTGGGATCAGGATCGAGATGGGGATGAGGATTGGGATCAGGATCGAGATGGGGATTAGGATCAGGATCAGGATTGGGATTGGGATCAGGATCAATCCCAGCTCCAGGAGGGAACACACACCTCGTTGTGCCTGGAGATGGATTCGTAGGAGCGCCGCACGGCCCCGAAATCCTTGGCCTTTTCCCGCAGGGAAGACTCCATGTTCGCCAGCTTGGCCTGTGGGGAGGAGACGCCCTCAGGATTCCCCAAATCCCAGGATTTTCCCGTGTGGATAAACCACTCCTGGAGTGGGATCAGAGGAGCTGTGCTGCCTCTGAGCTGGGAGGAACAGGAGCTTTGCTCCATAGGGAATCCTGCTCCCTGCCTGTCCCGGTGCTGTGGGCAGCTCAGTTCCCATTCCCATTCCCATTCCCATTCCCATTCCTGCACCCATTCCCATTCCCCATTCCCATCCCCATCCCAATTCCCATTCTCATTCCCATTCCTGTTCCCGTTCCCATTCCCCATTCCTGTTCCTGTCTCCATTCCCATTCCTGGTTCCCATTTCTGTTCCCATTCCCCATTCCCATTCCCATTATTCGCATTCCCATTCCCCATTTTCATCCTAATCCCCATTCCCCATTCCCATTATTCCCATTCCCCATTCCTATTATTCCCATTCCTATTCCCCATTTTCATCCTCATTCCCATTCCCCATTCCCATTATTCCCATTCCTATTCCCCATTTTCATCCTCATTCCCATTCCCCATTCCCCATTCCCATTATTCCCATTCCTATTCCCCATTTTCATCCTTATTCCCATTCCCATTCCCCATTCCCATTCCTGTTCCTCATTCCCATCCCCAGCTTTTCCCGCCACATTTGAAATCCAGCGGGATGAGTCAGGGCTGTTTTCCAGCGTCTCCTGGCAGCATTCCCGGCTCCTGGCTGCATCCCAGCTCCTCCTCCTCCACAGCCACAGCTGCCTCCCTGTTCCCATCCCTCCCTTCTGCTGGAATTGTGCAACTCCCTAAAATCCCAACCCTGGAATAACCAGCGCGGCCGGATCCAAGCCGGCACCAAGGAGCCCAGGGGGCAACTCTCGGGAATAAATCATCCCTCAGGATGACTAGCCGGGATAATTAAAACCCAGGAGAGAATCCCGCAGGGAAGCGCGGCTGCCTCACCCCCAAACATCCCACGGCCTTCCTCTCCTTCCCGCATCCCTCCTCACCCTGAAATCCGCCGCCGCTTCCCGCACCGGCCTCATCTTGTGCCCTTCGTGCCGCTTGGAATTCTGGCAGGCGAAGCACGCCAGCTCCTTGTCCTCCAGGCAGAAGAACTTGGGCTCCTCCCGGTGCGCGGGGCAGAGCGCGGCTCCGCGGGCCTTGCCCTGCCCCTCGTCCCTCAGCACCAGCTCCACCAGGTTGTTGAGGGTGTGGTTGACGCGGAGATCGGCCAGCGACGAGCTCTCCTTGCACAGGGGACACGCGTGGCGCCCGTTTTCCCAGGAGCGGCTCAGGCAGCCCTTGCAGAAGTTGTGGCCGCACGGCAGGGTCACGGCTTGGCGGAAAGGGTCGTAGCAGATGGGGCACAGCAGCTGCTCCTTCAGCTTGGGGGTGGAGGATGAGGAGGGTGAGGAGGGCGAGGAAGGTGAGGAGGGTGAGGCTGCCGAGGTGCTGGAGCAGGGATCGGCTCCTTTTTCCATGCTGCGGGAATGATAGAGCGGGATTTTCCTGTTTTGTTGGTTGGGGTTTTTTTTTTTCTTCTTCTTCTTCTTCTTTCTGATGCAACCCCGGCTCGGTTTCCTGCCGGTGACTCAGCCGCGCTCGCTCCCGCGCGGTGACACCGCCCCGGGGCCGCTGCCGGGGCTGGGGGAGGGCTCCGGCCCGCCGTGACGGCGACAAAAGCGGCCGGGACCACCCCAGGCACCGGGCCGGACCGGGACACTCGGTGGTCGGTTCTGCATCCCCAGGTCCCGATCCCCCAAACTCGGGGCTGCTCCGGTTTTCGACCCACACCCCCGGGGCTGCCCCGGTTCCCCAAAATCGGGCCCGGACCGTGCCCGGACCGGTGTCCAAACCTCAAATCCCGGGGCTGCTCCTGTGCCGGGACCCCCAACCCCGGGGCAACTCCGGTGCCCGGTCTCGGTCCCCCAGCCCCGGAACAATCCCTGTCCCCTATCCCGGGACCATCCCGGTGCCCCTGTCCCCCAGTTCTGGTGCCCGGTCCTCCAACCCCGGTACCTGGTCCCGCTCCCCCATTCCCGACCCACCCCTGTTCCCCTAAACCCGGAACAGCCCCGGTCCCCCAATCTTGGTTCCCGGTTCCCCATCCCGGGACAGGCCCGAACCCCCAATCTCGGTGCCCGGTCCCGGTCCCCTCCCCCACCTCCGGAACAATCCCTGTCCCCCATCCCGGTCCCCCAGTCCCGGTGCCCGGTCCCGGTCCCCTAAACCCGGAACAGTCCTGGTCCCCCAATCCCGGTAACAGGCCCCGGTGCCCGCTCCCCCATCCCAATCCCCTAATCCCGGTGTCCGGTCCCCCAATTCCGGTACCCGGTCCCCCAATCCCGGTGTCCCATCCCCCAATCCCGGTCCCCGATCCCCCAATCCTGGTCCCCCAATCCCGGTGCCCGATCCCCGAATCCCGGTACCCGATCCCCCAATTCCGGTGCCCCAGTCCCGGTTCCCGATCCCCCCAATCCCGGTCCCCCAATCCCGGTTCCCCAATCCCGGTTCCCGATCCCCCAATCCCGGTCCCCGTTCCCTCTCCCCCACCCCGTCCCCTCTCCACGTGGCATCCCGGTAACTCCCGGCCCTTCCCGGTGCCTCTGCCGGTTCCGGGGTTGCCCCGAGGCGGATCCCCGGTACCGGGAGGGGAGGTTCTCACCTGTCGGAGCGCACCTGGCACCGCTGGCAGCGCTCCCTCCTGCGGAGCCTCCGCTCCGCTTCCCGAGGCATCCCGGGGCTCCCGGGGCTCCCGGCGGGCGGAGCGGGAGCTCCGGGGGAGGTTCCCGGTGCTGGCCCGGCCTCTCCCGGTGCTGGCCCGGCCTCTCCCGGTGTTCCGGGAGCCGCCCCCAGCGCGGGAATTTCGGGATCTCAGAGATCCCAATATCCCGTTTCTTTCGGGATTGGGGTTCCCGGTGTTTCCCCCCCCCCCCCCCCCCGGGATTTTCCAGGGATTGCTTTTCCTTTTTCCCTATTTCCCACCCTTTTTTTCCCTGTTTCCCATCTTTTCCAATATTTCCCTGTTTGTTGGCGTTCCTGCCTCGGGAGAAGCGTGGTGTCCCCACCTCCAAAAATAAAAACAAAAAAAACCAACAAAACACCCCGCCATAGGAACCGGGAGAAATCCAAAAATTATCCATGGAAAGGCAAAGAGTAGGGAAAAAATATAAGAAAAAAAAAAACCAAAAAGAAGAAAAAGAAAAGAAAAAAAAAAAAAAAAAAAAAAAGGAAAAGAAAACAACATTTGAGTTGAAATAGATTTTTGTTTTGCTTTTTTTTTCCCCCCTGTGGAATGAGAAACTGCTGGAGCTGTGTTTTCCAAAGGCCGGGAGTCCAAGGTCAAAGATAAACCCGGCTGGGAATGAGATTTAAGGGAATGAGATTTTAGGGGGGAGGTGGAGGATGGGAGGAATGGGGAAAATCCCTCCTGGAAAAAAGAATTAAAAAAAAAAAAAATTAAAAAAATAAAAATCTCGGCCTCTGGAGCAGCTTTGGGGCTGGAATTGTGGGAATTTAGGGACAGGTGTGGGGCAGGGAAAAGTGACTGGGGTGGTTTTATTTCTATTTTTTGGGGGGAAAAACAAAAGGAAACATGGAATTATTTAGGAAAACCCTCTGGAATCAGCGACTTCCCAGCACTGCCAAAGCCTCCACGGATCCTGATCCTCCCAAATCCGCAGGGATTTGAAATCCTGCCGGGAATTCCAGAGCTGTGCCAGGGCTGGAAAATCCTTCCCAAGCAGGAATTGTTTCCAGCAGGCAGAATTCCAGTCTTGAGAATTCCATGGAATTCCCGTGGATCCTTGGAGTTGTCAGGGATAGATGAGATTTTGGGAAGGAAATAATCCCTGGGATTTTGGGAAGGAAATAATCCCTGGGATTTTGGGGAAGGAAATAATCCCTGGGATTTTGGGAAGGAAATAATCCCTGGGATTTTGGGAAGGAAATAATCCCTGGGATTTTGGGGAAGGAAATAATCCCTGGGATTTTGGGGAAGGAAATAATCCCTGGGATTTTGGGGAAGGAAATAATCCCTGGGATTTTCGGGAATGAATTATTCCCTAGGATTTTGGGGAAGAAATTCACCCCCGTGATTTTGGGAAGGAATTAATCCATGGGATTTTAGGAAGGAATTTTTCCCCGGGATTTTGGGAAGGAATTAATCCCCGGGATTTTGGGGAAGGAATTCTTCCCCGGGATTTTGGGGAAGGAATTCTTCCCCTGGATTTTGGGGAAGGAATTCTTCCCTGGGAGGGTGGGGAAGGGCTGGGATAAAATTCCCAGAGAATTCCCGTGGCTGCTCCATCCCTGGGAGTGTCCAAGGAAAGGTTGGATCATCCTGGGATGGTGGGAGTTGGGAATGGGATGGGATTTAAGCTCCCATCCCAGGATTTGATGATTCCATGACCCCACAGTTTTGTGGCACTTCCCACGATCCCAAGAATTCCCTGGATCGTGGGGATGACTGGATTTGCCCCCATTCCCGAGCTGTTCCACGCACAGATCCAGGTTTGGGAACGATTTATTAAACCCCCCCCCCCCGGCTCAGATCCCGGGGAAATCCACCATTCCCAGGTTTGGATCCATCCCGGTGGGATTGGAGGCTGGAATACGGGCGGGGATGGGAGGCCGAGCTCACCGGCCGTGCCCGGATCCCAAATATTCCTCCAGCAGAATTCCCAGCTCCGAGTTCTGCCGCTGCAGGGCGGCCGCCCGGGAAAAAAGCTCGGATCTCCGCGTCAGCACTTTGCTGGGAAAGGGACACCGGGATAAGCTGGGATTGTCCCCGGGATTGTCCCAAAATCCCTCCCTGTCCCCTCATCCCCCAGGGACTCACTGGTATTCCAGGAGCGCGGCTCCGAGCGCATCCCAAAGTTTGAGGGTCCCCTCGGGAATGACGCGGGTCATGGCTTGCCAGTATTCCCCGTCCTTGGAGTTGTCCCGGATTTCCTGGATCTCCCTGGGGGGTCCTTCGTCCCTAGGGGTGGAAAAGAAAACCTCGGGATGGAGATCGGAACCTTGGGATGGGAATCAAAACCTCGGGATGGAGGAGAAACCTTGGGAATAGAGATAGAAATCTTGGGATGGAGGAGAATCCTTTGGGATGGAGAACAAATCCCTGGGATAGAGAAGAAATCTTTGGAATGGAGAAGAAATCCTTGGGAAGGAGAACAAATCCTTGGGAATGGACAACAAATCCTTGGGAATGGACAACAAAATCCTGGGAAGGAGAAAAACTCTTGGAATGGACAAGGAATTTTTGGGATGAAGAAAAAAAAAATGGGACGGAGAAGAAACTCTTGGAATGGACAACAAACTCCCGGGATGGAGAACAAATCTTAGGGATAGAGAACAAATCCTTGGGAATGGAGAACAAATTCCTGGGAATGGAGAAAAAATCCTTGGGATGGAGAAGAAATTCTTGGAATGAAGAACAAATTCCTGGGATGGAGAACAAACTTTTGGGATAGAGAAAAATCTCTTGGAATGGAAAACAAATTCCTGGGATGTAGAACAAATCTTTGGGATAGAGAACAAATCCTTGGGAAGGAGAAGAAATCTTTGGGATGGAGAATAAATTTTTGGGATGGAGAGCAAATCCTTGGGATGGAGAAGAAACTCTTGGAATGAAGAACAAATTCATGGGATGGAGAAAAATCTCTTGGAACGGACAACAAATTCCTGGGATGGAGAACAAATTTTTGGGATGGAGAACAAATCCTTGGGATGGAGAACAAATCCTTGGGAATGAGAACAAACTCCAGCTTTCCCTCCCTTCCCAGGTCCTGGATTCTCTCCTGCCTGGTTATTCCCAGCCTTGGGAATCTCCTGATCCCTCTGTAGTGGAGCAGGGAAGTTTGGGAAGCTCCTTCTCCGAGCAGGACAATCCAGGAATTCCCAGGACATTCCCTGGATCCCAGTTTGGCTCCGTCCCTGTTCCCATTCCCACCTCAGCTTGGGAAAATCCCGCAGGAATTCCTTCAGGATTTTCAGGACATCGTCGGCATCGACGGAGCGGGCGGGGACGGAGCTCTCCAGGGATTGGAGCTCATCCCTCTGGAATTGGGATCCGCCCTCCCCTCCATCCTGAGCCGGATCCGCGGGATTTTCTCCCGGCATATCCTGCAGGGAGAAAAGCCGGATGTGGAATTTTCCACCTGAAGGGGTGAAAACGCCAATCCCTCCCCTTGCCTGGAATTTTGGGGATTCCTGGGATCTCCCCCCACCACCCCAGCCCCCCGGTGATCCCACCTGGCTGTCGGTCACTCCCTGGCATCCGTAGAACAGGAAAAAATCCATGAGTTTCCGCAGCTCCGCCTCGTCCTCGATCCGCAGGGTCTGGAAAAAACGGGAATTCCGTCAGGGCTCCTTGGGGTGGGGGGCAGGGAAGGGAATTTTCCAGGAGCAGAGGGAAAACCCTCGGGAAAAACCTCGTGGTTGCTGTGGGATATCGACCAGGAATATCCATGGATGGGAAAATCTGGGAATGGAGTCCTGGAGGTGTTGGAATCCTTGGGATGGAGTTGGGAATCGGGGAATCATGGAATGTTCTGGGTGGGAAAGGACCTCAGAGCTCATCCCATTCCATGGGCAGGGACACCTTCCATGATCCCAAACCTTGGACACTCCCAGGGATTCTCTGGGAATTCCAGGCCAGCCAGGAATTCCTTCCCAAATCCCATTTCCCCCTTTCCCAGGGAATTCCCTCCATTCCCACTCTCCCAGCCTGGCATTGGATCCATCCCCATCCCAACTCCTCTCTGGGAAGGAATTTCAGGATCCAGGGGCTTCACTGGGAATTCAGGACTCCAGGAAGGGTCTCCCTTCCCTTTTCCATCCCAGAATTCCATAAAAACCTCTCAGGGATGGATCCTGAGTGTCCTGGATCCCAGAATCCCAGAATGGTTTGGGATGGGATCCATGGACCTTCAATCCCACCCCGGGGACACTTCCCATGATCCCAGGGTGATCCAAATCCACCCTTGGACACTGCCAGGGATCCAGGGAT